TATGGATGATATGGCAGTGGGGGTATGGATGATATGGCAGTGGGGGAAGGTAAGTTAGCGGGAAAGGCAGTGGAGGAAGGGAAAGGTCATGGCAAGGATGATACAGCAGTTGGAGAAGGGAGAACATAGCAGTGTGCGGAGGATTGATGAGGCAGTGGGGGAAGGGAAGAAAAAACAATGGGTGAAGGGATGCCATGGTTTAGGGTGTTAGGGAGGATATAGCTTGGGGGGAAGGGGGGATATGGCAGTGGGGGTAGGGATGATATGGCACTGGGGGTAGGGATACTATGGCAGTTGGGGTAGGAATGATATAACAGTGGGGGAAGGCAAAGGGCATGTCAGTGGGGGGAGGGAAACGTCATAGCATTGGGGGAAAGTATAATATAGCAGTGGGGGAAGGGAGGATATAGCAGTGGGGGAAGGAATGATAAAGCAGTGGGGGAAGGGAGGATATAGCAGTGGGGGAAGGGAGGATATGGCAGTGGGGGAAGGGAATAAAAACAGTGGGATAAGGGAGGCTATGGCAGTGGGGCAAGGAAGGATAAAGCTTGGGGGGAAGGGAGGATATGGCAGCGGGGGTAGGGATGATATGGCAGTGGGGGTAGGGTTGAAATGGCAGTGGGGGAAGGGAGGATATGGCAGTGGGGGAAGGGACGATATAGCATGGGGGGAAAGGGAGGATATGGCAGTGGGGGTAGAGAGGATATGGCATGGGGGAAGGGTTGATATGGCAGTGGGGGAAGGGAGGGTATGGCAGTGGGGGAAGGGAAAGGGCATGGCAGTGAGGGAAGGGAGGATATAGCGTTTGGGGAACGGTTGAAGCTGCAGTGGGGGAAGGGAGAGTATGGCAGTGGGGGAAGGGAGTATATTGCAGTGCGGGTAGGGAGGATATGATGATGGGGGTAGGGAGGATATGGCAGCGGGGGAAGGGTTGATATGGCAGTGGGGGATGGGAAGAAAAAACAATGTGAGAAGGGACACTATGGCAGTGGGGTTAGGGAGGATATAGCTTGAGAGAAAAAGGGGTTATGATAGTGGGGGTAGGGAGGATATGGTAGTGGTGGAAGGTAGGATATGGCAGTAGGGTAAGGAAAGGGATATGGCCGTGGGGGAAGGAAACGGATATGGCAGTAGGGGTAGGGAGAATATGGCAGCAGTGGGGGAAGAGAGGATATGGCAGTGGGGGAAGGGCAAGGGGCTGTATATTACCTTGCTCAACCCTTTGTGATCTAGCCCGCTACTATGTGTGTTCCACCTTTTCGGGCCGTGAACGAGGCACAATGGCCTTAGGCATTGTGCTCCTGCTTTGAGAATTTCTTCCCCTCTCCCACAATCTGTGGCCCTCCCTCAGACCCTGCCAATTCTCTCAAAATCCCGCCCACTCACACTGGCTTGTTGCCCACTTCTGGCTCATCTCACCCCATGAACACATCAGGTCAGCGGGGCCATCGTGTTGCGTCAGTGGTGCTCTGCTGCTCCTCTTCAAGGGGTGTTCCCTTCCTCACTCCTCGTACGTATCCAGCTCATCTCTCTGTCCAAGTTGTCGCTACTCGCGGTTTAGTTCGGTGTCAGCTGTCCTACCGTTTTGAAAGCCATTTATTCCAGCTGGCCACACGTCACTCGATCCGTCTAGCCAATGTCATCCATCCATACTACGCCATCCACCCAGTCCATGCCATCCGTCCTGTCCAGGCCCACCCCCCCGTCCTTGCCATCCATCCAGTCCTTGCCACCCATCCTCCCTGCATCCAGTCTATGCCATACGTGGTGTCCTCGGCATCAACCTTGTTATCTCAATAACTATGCCTTTGCATTCTCTCAACACTCGTTTGCCCGTCTCCATGCCTCACTAGCCGTTATGCGTGCTTCTAGTTGGAAACGGGAAACAACAAGGCGGGTTAGGAATGAGAGTGCATCACTTCATCACTTCATCCCGTACCCCTCGAACAGATTTGCTACGATTATCACCATGGACAATGCACGTCGTCCAAATGCGGGAAGTGCATTGTCCCAAAGCCTGGATAGCATCATGAAAAAACATGAGAAACAAAAGATGCTTTCTCTGGGGAAGCACGTGCAACTTCCGGTGGCCATTATGCGATGCGGCTTATCGGCATGGCTTGGGAAGGAGGCGTCTGGCACCGATGTGTTGCACGTGCTGATTGCCTCTGCACCGGATGTCGTCTCCAAGCTCGTTGACGCCGCAGCAGCGAATGCGCATAAGTACACACTTAGCGAGTTTCCACGACACAACGTACCATTTTCATCATTATTTACACACTCTCAATGCCCCATGTACGCTCTGATATTCCAAACCAAGTTTTGTACCATGCACTTCTTTCGTTCTTTGTGGCAGACAAACGCGACAATGAAGAACTAGTGAGGTCTCAGACCAGGCTCCATCTAGATGCACAGCGATCCTTGTTTCGAATGGGCCAACGTGGAGAGAAGGTAGACGTTGCGCAACTGCTTGAACGGCTGCCACAATCATCCGCGGGCTTCATGTACGAGTTCAAAACGTATCATATCAACGAAGAGGGGAAGGTGGTGCCCGACAATGGGTTTGGCCACGGTGGGGATCGTCGTGGGCTGGCGTATCGAGAGTTACTTGGAACTGGTATGTAGAATCAAGCATGCCCATTGTCAACACGTCCCATGCACTGTTATCGTAAAGTGTCGGCGTGTTGATAATTGTCCTCATTGTCCTAATTTTTTCTGCCGTACCTAACTGTCTTGACAGGAGGCGTGACAGGCCACGAAGGGGGTGAGACCGTCTTGATTACCAGGGGTGAGGGTACTACCCTGCTAGAGGATACAGTTGAGGAGGGCGAGGGTGGGGGGGAGGCCATTGAGGGAATAGCGCCAACATCGGAGCCACAACCCGAGAGCGATCGCCACACCACTACCCGTCCAACCCCTCACGACATTACCTTTGGGAGGTGCGTTGCGTACATAGGCTGTTTGCATCGCTTTTTCATGATCCATTGGAATATGAGTCCCGATACGTAGATGACAGGGAAAAAGGATCATGGAAGATCACCTTGATACTACTATCATCCTCCCACCCCTCTACAGCACGTGTTCAGGTGGGGTTGGCGCGACTATCAGTGCAGCCCCGATTGACAAGACCCTCATGAGGTACGTCAGTGAGGTTGTCTTCGTGCACCGTCCTCATCGCGCACTACCTTTCACTCGTACATTCTAGTATGCCAACCATGTACGCATAAGATGAACACATGGCTAACAAAGTTCAACCCATGCCTCCTATCATCCTCACACCCCTCAACAGCCCAACTGCAGGGGGGGGTTGGCGCAACCACCACCAGCGCAGCCCCTCGGGACGAGACCCTTGTGAGGTACGTCGGTGTGGTTCTCGTCGTGAATTGCGCGTCCCTCATCCGTCGTAATAGGATTGCCCCCAGTACGTAGGTAATAAGACTAGACTAACAATGATCACCTCGTTCATCCTATCATGCTCTCCCCCCCCCGTACAGCCCTACCGCAGGGAGGGTCCGCGCATCTACCACTGCAGCCCCTCGCGACGACAGCCATGTGAGGTACGTCCGCACCGTCCTCATCGCGCACTACCTTTCACTCGTACATTCTAGTATGCCAACCATGTACGCATAAGATGAACACATGGCTAACAAAGTTCAACCCATGCCTCCTATCATCCTCACACCCCTCAACAGCCCAACTGCAGGGGGGGTTGGCGCAACTACCACCAGCGCAGCCCCTCAGGACGAGACCCTTGTGAGGTACGTCGGTGTGGTTCCCGTCGTGCGTTGCATTTCCAGCATCCGTTGTAATATGATGACTTGAACTACGTATATGACGAAACTCGAAGAACAAAGTTCATCTCGTTCATCCTATCTTGTTCCCCCCCCCTTTGCAGCCCGACCGCAGGCGCGGTCGGCTCAACACTCCCTAAGGGTCTCCGCCGCACTTGGCAGCTGACACCGGATGCAGTTATGTCCTCTCTCAACGGAGTGGTATGCCTGCTAGATCCAATCCACTTCCTTCAGTTTTTCCTTGGCCTTGGTGTAATATGCTGCCAAGCAGCCTCGTGCCGGGGGTCGATGGTGCTGCGTCCGTGCAAAGTCACCTGGGCAACAATGGGGGTTGTTTGGGTTTGTGATTCGTGCTCGAAGATTTCAGAGTTCTGGTCAACCAAGAGGGGCAAGGTAACAAGGGGTTCTAACAAGCAAGGCCCTAAATCATCTCTTTTACTACCGCGGTTCTTGGGAGCCTTCGTTATGGCGGGACTTGGCTTTCGGATGGTGAGCGAGGTTAGCAGAACACTTGGTATTAAGTCTATGGGCAAGGAGACATTTTATCGACACATGCGGCGTCCATACGGATTGTGGGAGGCAATCATTGTGCATGGCGAAGAGTGCATGGCGAGGGTCCGACGAGAAATGCAGTTGCGTCGAAAAGAGGGGCAAGAGTATATATGTGTAGATGGGCGCTGGTCACAGGCTAGGGAAGCGCAGTGGTGTACGGTCACTTTCATGGATCCACGGTCACGCAAAATATTGTTATGTGTTACGGTGTCAAAAAAAGCAGAGGATAAGTCATCCACCCAGTTGGAGGGGGTTGCATTTGCAGAGGGCTTGCGGATACTAAAGGAGTTTGGGTTCACTTTCACGGGCATTATTTCGGATGATGGGGCGTCATTCAAGAAAGAGTTAGTTGGCACTGACCTTCATCATCAGATGGATGTATCGCACAAGTGTCGTGCTCTAACAAAGTTGTTTGTAAAACACTTTGTTGAGGCTCAGCGCAGCGCAATGAAAGTGTCCCAAGCCAAGACATGTTCAGGGTTGTGGTTGGTCTCGCGCGAGGAGTTGTGGGAGTGGTTGTCTATGAACAGGAAAAAAGGTGATCGCGTGAGCGCAAAGTCTTTGAAAAAAACCATGATTAAAGCGGTGTGCGGAAAGTTGGGAACGATCGCGTTCGATGCGAATGCAAAGAGTGCCCCCAAATGGAAGTTTGAGGAAATGCGGAGGGTGTTGAAAGTGCGGGTTGGTGGAGTGACAGGGGGACAAGAGCAGGTGAAGCGACGGAAGATGTTGGTTTGTGATGGAGAGGATGACGTACCAAAGGAGCTGGGGAGCGGTGGAGGAGTGATGAACGGGGAGGCGCAGCAAGGGAGTGGGGGAGGAGTGTTGAGCGAGGAGGCGCATGAAGTGGGGCACTGCCACGCGGTCGGAGCGGATGGGGAAGCAGAGGAGGTGGGGGATGTTATCGGAATCAAATGGGCGGATGTGGATACACTTTTTGATTTTGATCCGCACCCCACACATGCCGCACGAGACGACATTTGCACCGAATACATCCGTGAGTCTGCCGTTGAGCTTTTGGGGGAGGGGTTCTCTGCAGAGGACGTCGTTGACACTGCGTTCGTATCTCATGGTAAGTAAATACACATGCACATCCATGCTAACATAGGGTACTTATTGGTGAGTCAACTATCTAAATTTTGTTCGTTTTGTCCATCCAGGTGAAGAGGGGATCGGTGATGCGAGGGCACCTATTCAGGGAGTGGCGGAGCTTGGAGATGAGAGTGGCTTCGTGCATATTGATGTGGCAGATAGTGCGATGGGGAGGAGTGGAAAAAGGTGGCAGGAGAGGAAGAGTGGAAAACGGTCACGTGATGAGGATGGAGAGGACGTCGGGGGCACAGAGTATGTGTCTGTTGTTCAGCGTTTAGGCATTCATTTCCATCATGTGATGGTGCGTTGCGCCACTAAAGCTGATGCTGGTCAGCGGGTTACGCCCGAGGATGTAGCTGCTGAGATGGCGCTGTGTGCCAACCATTACGCTGGCATACACGCTCGTTGTGAGCATGACGGAGTGGTACCGCGTTGTGTTAGGGAGCGATGGGGGGAGGAAAGTGCTTTATACGAACCGGATTCGGAGACCCATGTTGCTTTCAAAAAATGGCTTTCAGTCCATTGTGGTCCTGATCAAATGGCAGCATATGTTCGTGGTGCGAGCAATTGGATCAATGAGTCGTTTCATTCATGGATAACAAAGTATGCGTCGAAGTGCATATCTTTCCTTGGTAGCATGGAAGCCTGGGTGGCTCTGACTGTGCTACATTGGAATAGCACAGTGGATAGAGTTGTGAAAGAGTGGCAAACTCGTGTACGAAAAACAACTCGGGTGAAACGGGGAAAGAAGGACAGGGTACTTGGGCCAATGGACTGGAGTTGGAAGGAGGAGGTTATGGAGCGTTGGGCGAAGTTACGGGAGAGCGGGGGGGAGATTTCAGGAACAAATGCTGATGAGGAAGGAGAGGAGGGGGTGGAGGCGACAGAGGAGGATGTGGAGACGGCGGTTGGGGTGGTAGATGCTTCGGGAACGGGGGCGGAAGGGAGAGTGTGTGGAGAAGAGGGGGACACATGTGTGTCAAACGTCTCTGCCGGTCAGGAGGGGACGCCCTCCGGAAGAGCACATGGGTTATTGGCCATGGGGACATCCATTATTTTTCCGTCTACGCCACCACGCGCAGTCATCGGTCAACCCACCATGTCCCCTTTTTCGCCGTCGACTCCTTCGGGCACGTTTGTTTTCACTAGTCCTGGGTCTGTGGCCATTCCTGCCTCGTGGGCGAGCACACGCATTCGCCCCCTGCACCATGGGGCCAAGAACAACGTTCCGCGAAACTTGCCCCTCGGTTAGTGTTGTGTTGTTGTCTCCTTGTTATCTCAATCTTTTTTTTTTTTTTTTTTTTTTTTTTATGGTAATGCCCTCATGTGCTTGAACATTCATAACGCACTACTATTCTCTCCACCATAGACGACGCATCGCCACCGGGACGGGGTTAGCGGTCTTCGCGATCATGTGTGCAGCCCGTCCAAACGTCCGCGAAGAGTACCCTCTCGGTAAGAACCTTGATTTTGCATTGTGTTCATGCTTCCTTAATACTTGGTCCTAATATTCTCAGAAACACATCGCCCATTGTATTTGCAGTTTCATGGACTATGCGCATGACATAGGGGCCTAGACTAACACAATCGGTTTCAAGAAGGTAAGTTAGCGGGCAATTCCTACCCCTTCTGTCTCACCGCAGTCCCCTTATGTCTCATCTCCTGTCCCTTCTGCACTACCTTCCAACCACTTCCCCCACCTTCCCTTACTGTTTCCTTCTCTCCTCTCCCCTTCCCATCGATACTCTAGGATATTCCCTCCACCTCATCCCACTTCCATCTGCTACCCTCCCCTCCCCTTTCTAAACTATTTCCGTCCCGTCCATTCCGTTCCTTTCTGTAAACCCTCCACTTCCCTTCCATGCACCGCTTAACCCTACCCTTCTCTTACCTGGCTTTCCCATCTTCCCCATCCTCATCCCCTTACCCCTGGCACCCGATAACACACACACACCATCCTCATGCCCTCACCCCATGCACCAGATTACACACACACACACCATCCTCCTGCCCTTATCCCATGCACCCCATACCACACGCACACACACACCATCCTCATGCCATTACCCCATCACCCCATACAACACACACACACACCCCATCGTTCCTGCCCTAACCCACGCCTCACCGCCTGGCGCACACAATAGCCTGTTGGGCATCGCACATCACGCCACCAGCTCATGGACAATGCTGGCGGCCGCTGCTCACCACAATGCTAGCTTCCCCTGCCCGATCCCATGGCCCCATAACTTCCCCTGCTATAGCTTCCCCTGTCTCATGGGTTTCCACTCTTCCCTGCCTTCGTATACCCTCTCTCCCCTCATTCTAGCACCTCCCGTCCCCCTTTCCCGTGCTCCCACTGTCCTCACTTCCCTGCATGGCCTGTGCGGGCTCTCCCCTCATCCTATCACCTCCCTTCCTTCTTTCCTTCCCTGCCTGTTTCCTCTCTTCCCTGTCTCCCCTTTCTCTTCACACTCCCCTCTCCCCCACACTTCCCTCTATCCCATCTTCACTATCTCCCCTATTCCCTCTATCCCCTCCTCCCTCTCTCTCACATGTCCCTCTATCCTCCCAACCCTCTATCCCCTTCTCCCTCTCTTCCATCTTCCATCACTCCCGTCTTCCCTGTTTTTCCTGTGCCATGATTCCCCTCTTCCTTCCCCCCCTCCCTTCCCTTCCCTCCGTCGTCCCTGTCCACACTCTTCTTGTCTCCTCCTTTCAATCTCCCCCCTATTCCTATCTCTTCCTCTCTCTCTCTCCTCAACTTTCTCTTTCTCCTCTTTCCGTCTTTCTATCCACCCACTCATGTTGTGCCAATACAGCTTATGATAGCATCATGACTTTATCTTATTTCCCATCCACCGTCTCCCGCATTCATTTCTTGGATTTCGCCTCTACTGTCTATCCCATCTATTTCTCGTATTTCGCTTCTTTACATTCATGTCTCGCTTTCATTGACAATTTCAGTGACAAGCATGTCGAGTTTCTATGCTTCAACTCGCCACAATCCAGCAAGACACTCCCGTTGAGTGACAAAGTAGTCCAGTACATTTTCTGGCAGGGCGAGAGAGTAACACTCTATACTAAGATTCTTGGAAGGGTCTTGCACATATGGAAGTAAAAGAACTCATTACGCTGCATGTGTCTGACAGTAATCCAACGCTGAGCTTGCATATTGTTCCTAAACCCTAAACATAAGTAGGTATAAAACATCCACTAGCAGCATATCTGCTGCATTACGGTGCCCCTCTACTTCAACAGGGCCAATTAGGGAGAGGAGATGCCAGGGCAGAGAGATGAAACCTAAATCCTGAATGGCAGGACGGGGAGACGAATGGCAGGGAAGGGGGAGTACATGGGAGGGAAAGGAGATGGGAGGAAGGGTAGGGAGATGATAAAGTGGTAGATAGGCAGGTGAAGAGGGGAAGGGGCAAGGTAAACAGGGAGGACAAGCGGACCGCGCAAAGAGAGGGGGAGGGCAAGAGGCGAGGGAAGGGGTTAGGGGCAAGGGGAAGGGCGAGAGCATGAGCAGCAAGAAGGGTCAAAGGCACTAGGCAAGGGGCAAGGGCAAGGGAAAAAGTGTGGGCAAGCGCAAGGGTCAGTGGCAAGGACATATCCCACTCTGGATGCATGCTGCACAGAAACAGCCCCACATGGCCACCTCAGGGTGCTCAGTGCGCTAGGGCACGCACGCCCTCTCATTTTGGGGGGATTCAAATACAATGCGGCGTGAACCCCCGCTGCTCACCCCGAGATGCACGGTGCACCATGGGCACGCCACCTGCTGCATCCTCGGGCACCCTCCCAACTCCCCAGCCCCATCCCGCCTCCGCCACTCCCTGCTATCATCCCGCCATCCCCTGGCCCCGGTGGCAGTAGGGCCCTTTGGAATCTCCCCCGCGCTCTCCCCTTCCCCCCTGGAGAGGAGGGAGAGGGGGAGGGACCTGGGGCAGCGCCGCAGGTGGGGCAGGGGGCGGCAGGATAGGGAAGCAACGCCCCCGCATTGCACCTGCTGCACGTGCTCGACACAGGCGGGCCCGACCCATGCACACTACCACTGGGGGGGATTACGGAGGGGGGGAGGAGGAGGGGAGATGACAGGGAGAGATACGTGGGACAGTGGGGGATAACGATCTGTGGTTTTGGAAAAAAAGAAAGTGGGATGGAGAGATAGAGAGACACAGGGAGATAGAGACAGAGGGTGGGAGTATGTGGGGGGTGGGGGGGGGAGTTGAGAGAGAGGTGATATGTTGTAAAGATTGAGAGGAGTGGAATAGCGAAGCGAGGAAGGTTAACACACTCAAGTGTAAGTAACACATTCCATGCCACCCATCCCTTTCCAACCCAACACCCAACCCACTCCCACCCAACACCCAACCCACTCCCACCCAACACCCAACCCACTCCCACCCAACACCCAACCCACTCCCACCCAACACCCAACCCACTCCCACCCAACACCCAACCCACTCCCACCCAACACCCAACCCACTCCCACCCAACTCCCATCCCACTCCCAACCCACTCCACCCCCCTCCCCCCCCACCCCACTGCCACCCCGTCCCCATGCTTGCACGCACCGTGCTGATGCACGCGCTTGTCAGCAGCAGGCAGGCAGTGGGTGCATGAGCCACCCCATCACGGACGGGACAGCCCCCGCACCTGCGGCGCCCACTGCAGCAGCGGAGGCGGCGGAGGGCGCGGAGGAGGGCTTGGAAGAAGACAAGGGCTTGTCGGGTGCAGGCTTGTCGCGACCCACCATCTCCCACACCTGGTGGGAGTGGACTGAAAGGGGGAGGGGCGAGTGGAGAAAGAGAGAGGAGAGCTTGGGGGAGAGGGAGAGTGAAACGAGTGTTGAGAGGGGGAAAACTTTAGAGAAGAGGGGGAAGCCTGGAGAAACCTGGTGGGGAGGGCGGTTGAAGAGGGAGGGGGGGGGGGGGGGGGGGGGGGGGGGGGGAGATTGCGAGGAGGTAGAGTGGAGGCAGGTGTCGTACATGTTTCGTGCAGCGGCCTTGCGTGTGTGGTAGGGGGGGGTGGTGTGCATCTAAAACTCGAAACTCCCCTGCTGCACTCCATGAAATTCCCGGGACATTCCCCCCCCCTGCAGGGTATATCTCTGCTCGCCCTTAGGCTCATTGTTCACCTGCGCCACCCCACACACCGCACACCTCGATCGATGGCATGAGGTTCCCGGGCCACAGGAGGAGGTGTGCGCTGGCGAAGCCACCATGTTGCAACTAACAGCGGGCACGGTGACGAGCGGCGAGGCATTGCATGTGGCGCAGTGCGATTATGCCGGGGCAAGGCGCTGACGCACGGGGGGCGGGCGGTGGTGCGACTCACCAGGTCGAGCATGGCGTCGTTGATCGTGTTATGTGGATCTCCACGCACCTTCACGCACCACCACGCCACACCACGCCACACCGTGCCACGCCACGCCAGACCGCGGCAAGCCCCGCCACGCCTCGTCACGCCACGCCACACCGTGCACCCCGTGCCATGCCACGCTGCGCACCCCGCGCCACGCCACGCCGCGCACCCCGCGCCACACCATGCCGCGCAACCCGCGGCACGCCACGCCGCGCCACGGGGCCAGGCACACGCGATCGTCAGGAGATCTTATTGCATTGGTCGATGGGAGAAGTCGGATCTGACGCTGACGCGCGGAAACAAATTGCTAAAGGCATGCGTAGAAGCAAGAAGAAGGCTCCGGCATAATCGGTCGAACGGTTGGCGATGTGGATGCAACTCTGTAAGTCGCTAGCAATTTAGAACGGTTTATATCGACTTAGAACGTGACCCATGTTAGCGTCTCGCGCTGGGATGAGTGCACCAACCATAAACGGCCGACAGGGGGGGGGGGAATGCCATAGGCGCGTGAGACGCGGAGGTATCTCGAGTACTATGCTGTTCCTACCGCTGTTATGATGTTTACGGGACGGCGATCGTTCAGGAACAAATGTGTTGGTGCTCTGCTCTGTATGTTATTGATATGTTTGCTGTGTGGAAATTGGAACGAGAATGATTGCATTGAGCAGCATGAGGAGTACAAGTACCAAACCCTAAAGTGTTGTACCCCATATAAGCTACCCCACTAGAGCCTACACTGACTATAGCATATGAGTTTGACACACCCCCATAGGAAAAGTGGGGGAGAACAAGGGGTCACAAGACCAGTCAAGCAAAGCACAGCAAGCTCAGGGTGGATCACAACGTCACCACACATTCTGAGCACAAGTTCAGTCCACATGCAGGTATATATATATGAAGCTAAACATGCAAGTGCAAGTATATAAAGGTCAAGGTACAAGCAAGGTCAAGAAGTGAGCAAGTGAGGCAAGGTAGGCACAAGACCTAACAAAGTACAGAAGCGCTGATGGTCACAAGGCGCGAGTGCCTTGGTGAAGATATCAGCAGTGTTGGCCTCAGAGGCCACGTAAGCAAGGCGCAGCTGACCGCGCAGCTGCAGCTCACGAGCAAGGAAGTAGCGAAGAGCGATGTGCTTCATTCTGTGCTCCAGTCTGTGCTCCCGACACAAGGCCAGCATGGCCTTGTTGTCTACGTACAGAACTGGAGGAGAACGAGGCGGCTCTCCTAGGTCAGTCAGCAGGTAGGTGAGCCAGCGTAGCTCCTGTGCAGCCATGGCCCCTGCGTAGATCTCAGCCTCACAGCTGGAGCCGAGAACAGAAGACGAGCGGGTAGACCGCCACGAAACAGAGCCGGAACCAAGGCTGAAGGTGTAACCCTGTGACGACCGCTGCGTAGCCTGGTCGTCAGCCCAAGAAGCGTCTGCGTGACCAGTGAGGACCACTGGACTCCGCCCTCCAAGCACAAGCCCCATGCCCGACGTACTGCACAAGTAGCGCAACACCCTCTTCGCTGCAGCCATGTGCTCTGGTCTGTGTCTCCCAGGAGCAACATAGCGTGCCAGAATGCTAAGAGGGTATGCAAGGTCAGGTCGAGTGCAGGTCATCAGGTACATGAGGCAGCCTACAAGCTCTGGGTACAGGCCACTCGACTCTACGGACTCATCCGAAGGCAGAGCTGAGAGCGAGTGGCGAGTAGACAGAGGAGTGGCCTGAGGCGAGGAGTACGTGAAGCCGAAGCGCTGAAGGACCTGCTGCACCATGTGTGACTGAGTCAGGGTAATGGTGCGCTGTGCTCTGTCCCGGGTGATCTGCAAGCCAAGGTAGCTGCGCAGTTCACCTAGGTCTGTGCACGTGTGTCTCTTCTGCAGCTCGGACTTCACGTAGGCGAGTCCAGCAGTGTCAGCTGTGGCAAAGACCAAGTCGTCGACGTACACGAGGATGTAGAACGGCGGCAAAGAAGTGTCGGTGCGCAGAAACAGCGACGGGTCGGCAGTAGAAGGAGCAAACCCAAGAGCCGCAAGTGTAGTCCTCAGTGTGTCGTGCCACTCACGAGGTGCCTGGCGGAGACCGTAGACTGGCCGCCGGAGGCTCCACTGGGTGCCAGGAGGAAAAGTCCCAAGGAAGCCAGGTGGGCGGCGCAGCCAGATCTCCTCGTGCAGGCTGCCCTGCAAGAAAGCAGTGCTGAAGTCAAGAGAGTGAAGCTCGTAGTCACGGTGAGCGGCTAAGTGCAGCAGTACCCGAAGAGTGGTCATCTTCGGGGTGGGAGAGAAGGTCTGAAAGTAGTCAACTCCCTGCCGCTGACTGAAGCCACGAGCCACGTAACGCGCCTTGAAGACAGGCGGAGAACCCGGCGGCCGCTTCACCCTGAACATCCACATGCCACTGACGATGTTCGCCCCAGGCGGGGGAACCTCGTCAACGTAGGTGCCTGTGGACTTCCAGGAAGCCATCTCTGCGTCCATGGCTGCCTGCCACTGAGAGGAGTAGGGACCCTCTATCGCCTCCGCGTAAGTGCGCGGAGTCGGGATGTCTGGTGCATCCGGGTCTCCCTCAGGGGCAAGTAACATGGACACGAGATGGGGTGAAGCAGCCGCAAGACACTGGAACTCCTCCTGCCTGTCCTCAAGGACGTCCGTGCCAAGAGCACACTCACCCCCGACGGACGGAGGACAGACAGACTCAGACTCAGCGACAAGACTAGCAGCGTAGTCTAGGCGACAGCGAGCAGCGAAGTCGACAAGCTCAGCAACTAGGGCAGACGCAGCAGTGGACTCAAAGGAAGGGTCAGTGACTACAGTAGCAAGGAGACGCGTGACAGTAGGACTGGCAGCACGAAGGGAGTCTGACTCAGGGTCAGCAAGAGCAGGAAGAGAGGACTCAGGAGGAGGAGAAGGCAAAGGGGCACGCAGTGGAGCTGTGGAAGGACGCAGAGACATCCGGTGCGTGCCGGGGACAGGGGGAGGACGCTGACGCGAACTACGACCACTAGTGCGAGCAGCACGGACAGGCGACGCAGGGCGAGACGCAGGCTCACGACGCTCAGCAAGACCTCCAGTAGGACCAGTGTAGGGAGAAGGAGCAGGCAGAGGTGAGGTAGGCTGTAACTGTGACTCGGACTGGACAGGCGGTGGACACTCTAAGGGAGGTGCCGGACTAGCAGAGGGCAGAAGGCCAAGAACCTGCTCAAGGAGCGGAACGAAGTACGGCCGCGGCCGCGCAGCGCCCCCAGAACCAGCAGGAACAGCACCAGCACCCCCAACTGCAGCACCAGCTCCAGTAGCACCCCCAGCTCCAGCAGCGCCAACTCCAGCACCCTCAGAGGCACCAGCACCAGAACCACCCTCAGCGCCAACACCCCCAGCAGCTCCAGCCCCAGCCGGACCACCAGAAGACACAGCAGGTCCACCAGCACCAGCACCCCCAGTAGCACCGACGCCCGCAGCACCACCAGCTCCAGGACGAGAAGTACCCGCAGGCCCAGCAGCTCCAGTACTCCCAGTACGAGCACCTCCGGGACCCGCGGCACCAGCACCCTCAGCAGCAGCAGAACCTCCAGTGCCCGCAGCACCTCCAGCTCCAGCAGCACGCCTCCAGCGCCGGGCAAACCACTCTCGCAGCTCCTGTGGAGAGAGTAGCTCCCGTCGGGACGAAGCACCCGAAGAACCGCCAGGCCCAGCACCACCAGGCGCCACACAAGCAGGCCCAGTACCCTCAGACTCCGCACCCCCATACGCAGCACCCCCAGGCTTAGCACCCCCAGGCTCAGCACCCCCAGGCAAAGTACCCCCAGGCTCAGCACCCCAAGGCTCAGCACCCCCAGGCGAAGTACCCCCAGGCTCAGCACCCCGAGTCGCAGCACCCCCAGACTCAGCACCTCCAGGCTCAGCACCCCTAGACCCCGCACCCGCAGGCTCAGCACCCCTAGCAGCACCAGAGTCAACAGCTACCTCGACAGGCTCGACTGCGTCTACCTGGGACACACCTGAGGGGGCAGGACCCTGAGGGGGGAGGGGGTCTACCGGAGGGGGACCTGGCGTAAGGAAGAGCGGCGGGGGGGTGAAGGACGCAGTGCGGTAGGGGAAGAGACGGTAGTAGGGAACCGACTCGTCAAACGTGACGTCCTGGGAGGACAGAACACGACGCGAGGTGGGGTGGTAGAACTGCCAGCCTGGCGCGTCAGGGGGGAAGCCAAGGAAGACGCAGGGAACAGCACGAGGGGACAGCTTGTCCGCAGACAAGTCGCGGACAAACGCCCTAGATCCCCAGACACGGAACGCAGACGCATCGCCCACCTTCCCCGTCCACAGCAAAGCAGGGGAGGTCTCCTTCATGGAAACCCGGGGCTGAAGGTTGATCTGATGCGCCGCGTACCGAACCGCAAACGGCCACAGAAAATGGGGGGCAGCCGCATGGACCATGGACGTACGAGCGACGTCCATGACCATGCCAATGCGGCGCTCAGCAATCCCATTTTGCTGTGGAGAGTCCGGAAGCGTGAAAGTCTGGCGGATGCCTCGTGCACGACAGAAGGCTCGCAGAAGGTCAGAGGAAAACTCTCCGCCTCTGTCGGAGTGCAGACGCAGAACAGGAAAGTCCGAGCCAAAACTCTCTCTGAGCTGGAGACGAGCTGCGCGGATCCAGGCGATCAACACCTCAGTGACCTCACCCTTGCGGCGCAAGGGGAAGACCGTGGTGTAACGCGAGTAGTCGTCAACCACCAGCAGGAAGTAACGCTCGTGACCCTGTCCACGGACGCGGGCTGGGCCCCACACGTCCATGTGAAGCGTCTACAGCGGAGCCTCTGTCGGAGGGAACTCGGAGGAGTGAGGAGCAGCGCGCTGCCGCCCCTCGACGCAGGGAA